TTATTGTTATGCCGAATAGACATAGATTTCAACCATGAGAAATATTTTTTGATTAATCTAATCAGTTTTTAGAGAGTACAAGATTAATAATTTTTGTCYGCCCTTTTTCAAAGGGCCATGGTATTAAAGTAACTTATTTAATTTTCCCCCTTTCCTTTTAGACTTGTTTAGCAGGGCTATTTGTACTAACAATGCCAGGGGAGCCATTTATAGTGGGTTGGGGGGAGGGGAGGGTGGCCCCCAACATCTACATGTACCCCTCCACAGTCCGTGTATAATTCAAGTTTATTTAGSAGTTTGAAGGATACAAGTTTCCTCGTAGACCTGAATCGTAGCCATGTCTCCTTCCAATCGAATGATCTCTCCAACTAATTCACTGTACCCTACACGAACCTTAAATGAAATAAAATGACATTTCACTTCATAATTTAAATAACACAACATAACTCATTTCATTTTATCCCAAGCAAGCATTTTTGACAAACGCAATATTTGTCAAACACCGGAAACAAAGATTCAAGAAGAAAAAAATATATCATTGAACAACTTTTATTTTGCTGACAAGATATTCACACACTTGTTATTATATGCTTAGCTCATAAATTATTCCTACGAGCAAGAATTATGCATTTGCATCTCTAAAAAACGACTTCGTATAGCTAAGACAAGAGAAAGAACATTTACATAAGCTAATTGATGTGTAAAAGAGGGTATTAATTTGTTGGCGCTTTTGAATAAAATGTTTTTGGTTTGACATGGAAGGATTCTCGAACGTCATGTGATGATCGTTCGTTCTTAGTGACTTCATCATTCCTGTACTGGTATAACCCGGTATGTCTTCCCTTTTACTTACCAACTCGTACATCGCAGCACCGCTCATATTCTCAGCAATCACCACTAGAATAAAACAACCTGATGTCAGCCACAATATCCGACACTTAGAATCTTATAAACCACTACGATCAAATTCATATTGTAAAGTAATTTTGGTTTGGAACCTGGGCCAGAGACGCCAAAGACGTATCCAAACTGGCTCTCATCTTCCTGGTCCTTTATCATCATAGTTTTCTGCGCTAAATCCATACCACCCGCCTGTGAAGAAAGGTAAAACAATTTAAAAAAATCAGACATGTTGTAAAGAATAACGAGCAAGGTAAAAGGGAGTAAAATGAAGAAATCCCTTGGCGACCCACCATCTTGGAAGATGTATGTGTGATGTGTGATACAATAGTCACGAGTATCTCCCATGCAGGGGAGGGTATGGAATATAAATGTCACGAATCTCTCCCGTGAGAGGGAGGGAAGAGAACTGTTCCCAGTACTCCTCTCCCTCTAACAAACTCAAAGAAAGATGGCGGCTGATGGAGAAAGAACTCCAACAAATTTACTCATTTTTCTCCTTCAAACTGTTGTATTCTTTACTTTTATCACTACTTACGGAGAGATATATGTGTTAGGTAATTCTGTTCCTTGTAGTAAGTTGAGTGCTTCGTGTTTGGAGTGTAAAATGAGTAATTCTTGCGTTTATGGTCAAGATACTCAAGTAGAATGTATTGTTCTAGATCACTGTCAGTGTCAGGTAATAGCCCTAGTATCATTGCGTTCACGGAAATTTGATAATTTATACTATCTAAATTTGATGGTATCTATTCCAAAATTTACTAATGATGCTATTGTGTTTTAAAACAAGTCCTTTACCCTCTAAATTACCCTGAAATGTACTCACTTTAAGGATCTTTTCAACGATAATAGGGTGATAGGTCGTTTACCAAGACATATAACTGCAGATATTGTTATCTGACACCTAAAGAAAGCTACAAGTGCACCCAGAAGACCCACTGTAAGGTAGGATATATGTTCAATATTATTCCCCTTTTTTGGAGTTTTATTAACCCATATCCTTTTATTCATGTACTAGGTGATATCAGGGAATAGTCCACCTCCTCATTATTTGACCAACTGCACTGTTAATGAAGATGTCCTATGCTTAGGTAGGTTTCTTACGGCATGATGATGATATGATAATGATGATGATTATGATTGTGATGGCGATAATGATAGTGATGATACTATGCTTCCGGTATGATATGACAGAAGATTTGTCAAAGAAATGTACAGGTGCAATATCATTGATAATATTGCCATACCCACACTTTATTGTTGGTGATGTCAGTATTATGCTCTCTTCTTATTGAATAATTTTGTTGTTGCCCCTGACAACATGTTGTTTCATTAACAAATTTTTTGGGAAAAAATTATGTTTCATCAATTCAACTGAGAAGCATAGTATAAGTGCTACGCGGTCCACATATTCTCATCTTTGCATCATAATTACCGCGACCTTACATCTATTTCACCCCGGCCGGCTCTCAGTCTGACCTGTAGCTCAGCTGGTAGAGTATCGGTAGTAAAATTCCGAAGGTCGTGGATTCAATTCCCAGAGAGGATGGAAATTAGTTTTTCTGAATTTAATTCCAAGGGCTTTCGCCCGGAATAACCTCATTCCCAAGCACTATAACTTATCTATATTTCTATATCTTTATGTATTACATGTAAGTGCTACGCGGTCCACATATTCTCATCTGAGAAGCACAGTATTAAAGATTGTAATTAACTTTGCCATAGGTACTGTAGCTTTATTTGGATATGTTTGTTATAATAATCAACAGTTTTATCTCATTGTATTCTGACATTACCATATGGTTTTTCTGTTTGTTAGGTAATCGTACATTTAGCAAATACCTACCTTGCACCTGGACATCAGGATATCGCTGGTCAACAACCTTTCTCTTAAGGTGCAAAACCTTTATTGGTTTATTTTATCTCTTCATGTTCCTTTTGTTTGATTCCTACATGTCATTCTAATAGTGGTTTTATTTTTAGTCTAACCCTCGGAGGTTTTGGTGTGGATCGGTTTTACCTGGGTCACTGGAAAGAAGGACTTGGAAAGCTCTTCAGTTTTGGTGGTCTTGGAGTATGGACATTAGTGGACTTGGTCTTAGTTGCTATTGGTTATGTTGGACCAGCTGATGGTTCTCTCTATATCTTTTGATTGTGATATATTGATAATGCTAAACAAATATTATGGTTCTTACTAGCACATTAATGTAATGCTGTTTATAATGTAATGGTTATAATTATATTTTAATATCATGCTTGTATTTCATACATTTTTCTAATAACATAATGTCATAAAATTATTGTAAATAAATTACCTGTAAATACGTACATTATGCTGTAAATAAGTCAATAATAATAAAATAATAAGGTTCTACCATACATGTACAGTTATATAGAATAAAATAATGCTTTGACCATAAAGCCAGATATAATGCTAGCAGCCTGGCTTTTTTTAAAGCTACTCAGACCTCTTTACTTTTGGATTTCAGCATTACTTCTTAGAGCTGTTTTTGTGAGTGGGAAACATATGGTGTTGTCTAAGTCAGCCTGTACATTATAGTATGTACACAAAAAGGTCTTGGCCATAGGTTGGGCAATGTAAGAGTTTTGGGAGGCAGTTGACCCTCAACTATGTCCCTAGTGCAGAATGACATGCCCAAGTATTGAAATGGCTTTCCATTGTCTTCCAGTAAGTTTTCAAACTAAAGCACACAGTAAAACTATAGTATAGTTTCTTTGATATATTTCAACCATCACTCCTTGTAAGAGGATCTATCGTGAGGTTCACTCTACATGCACCACCACTGCATTCCATAGTTACAACATACAACACCCAACTCACATGTTGATTTTTATGAAGAGGGAAACTGAAGAAAAACCCTAGTGGAAAGGGAGAGAACAACACATCAAACAAACTCAACTCTAATATGCACCAGCCAGAACTGGGTCTCAAGTGGGAAGGGCAGCAGATTATAAACCGGCACTACCCAGGTGGAAATCTTATTAAGATTCTTAATAACAATCTGAATAAGATCTTAGCAAGATTCTTACAATGTTTCTTATTAAGAATCTTATAAGAATCTTATAAAATCTTATAAGAATCTTATAAAATCTTATAAGAATCTTAATAAGATTATTATCAAGATCTTATTAGAGCTTTATTAAGATCTTACAAGATTCTTATAAGAGTTTTATTAAGATCTTGTAAAATCTTATTAAGATCTCATAACATTCTTATCAGGATCTTACAACAAATATGTTATTTAAGATCTTATAAGAATCATAATTTTTATAAAGATCTTATACCAATCATGATCCAATGATCACATAAATAAGAAACTGCAATAATTTTAATCTCCACATTAAAGCAAAAAGAAATATATATATATATATATATTTTTTGGACATACATACAAAGTAAGTTCATTTGATATTGAGTCCATTAGAGTATCACACACACACTTAAAGCACAAAACAATGAGAATGTAAATGCAAATTTTCAGTGTAAGACAACTACCAAGTTAGTTGCTTATTAGATTGAAGCCCAAGTTGTAGAATATTTCATAGAAAAAATGCACTAATTATTGGTTCAGGTATTAATTTTTTACACTTGATAATTCAAACATGTTTCAATCAGTTGCCACAGTGCACCAAAATAATTCAGAAAGGCTGCATTTTCTTTCTTTCAAATACTAATGATTCAGCAATCAATAGACCCTTTCCCAAAATGACAGCAACAATAAATTTATTGTAATGAGTTAGAATTGAAAAAGAACCTATAACAGCAGTAGAAAGAGCACCTTTACTAACAGTGCTCCTTCTAGTGAACATTGGTATTGGTTTTAAATTATAATTCATTTCAATTTTTGGCTTCCATTTCGGCAAAGCATCAATTGCAAAATCATTATTGGGTTCAAATTTAGAACATAGATGACTATACCATGTCCAAAATGGTGCATGATAAGTATATTAAATTAATAGATTATTAAGTGATACAAATGTCAATAAATTTTTGCCCTGAAAGAATCTGCAACTATAATAAATACATTGGAGGATAATCATGTTATTTCCCAGGATACATTTTGGTCTCAGCTTCTTTGTTCTAGGTTATGAACCCAAAAATGATTTTGCAATGGAGTGTATTTTGGCAACTAAATTTCAACATGTTTTCTCAATGGAAAAGGTGATCATGATAAGTCATGGTAGTGACAAAACTTCTCACTACAATGATTTATCATCATCTTCTTCTTTTTCTTTGGGAAGGCTTGGTAGTTAAAAAAATGGGCTCCTCCCCAGTCTTTGCCTCCATTTTTATAAACATTCTCTTTGTATTAAGGCACTTTTGGTTGCAGGACTGCCTGACAAGAGACCATTTCTTGAGTAGTGGTACTGCTCCCCAAATTTTAAACCAATGGCATCTGAAAAATAACAGACAACTAATTATACAGTTTTCCAGTGCAAGTATTAATAAATCAAGATGGAATCGCTGTGAATCAAGTTAATGCAGACAAACTTTACTCACTTTTCATTAGTTCCACCTTCCTTTCATCAAGTAATGACTTTCCCCTTAGTTTTCACTCTTTCTATGGGGCCTATGATACCATTAACCACTCCTCTTTTGTAAATAACTTTGTAAACACTTTCAGGCCAAATTTCTTAAGATCCCCACCAGAGGATTTTGCTAGTAGATTGACACTGTCATGCATCTAATGTAAAAGGAATAAATAAAAGAGTAAGGTTTTTCTTTAGGATTACTATCATAAATGTAATATCACCACCACTCTTTAAATTCAGCTTTTGTTTAAAATAGTGCGCCATTATTGGTACCAAATAGAAGATAGACATCAAACGGGAAGATTTATGTACCTCTTGAAAAACTATTTAATATATGAATTGAAATACCTTGAAAATCTCATACCAGAGTGGGAATGGAAGAACTTCCTCCATCTGTTACGTCGTCTTCTACAACCATGCTTCTTTTAGACTAAGTAAATTTGTTAATAAACCATTATTACCATCAAGTAATAATAACAATAACAATATTAACAATAATAATAACAGTTTCAATGTTGTGTCTTGTTTTGTCAAAGTACAATTATTAAGCTTATTGATGAAGAATATGCAGTAGGGATGTTACCTTTTTAGATGGGGGTGGAGCATAATGACTTCCACTTCTTTTTTGTCTCTCTTCAACAACTCCAAAATCTGGTCCAGCTTCTTGTGAATCAATGACCAATTTGGATCCTATATCAGAAATTATTATAAAAGAAGATTAAAAGAGATTCATATTACCAATATGTTTGAACTTATAACTTGAAGGTGCTTGACTTCAACAAATATCATATATATAATTATATATAACAAAGTATGTAATGTGGTCTATACTATATATATATATATACTATTATATATATA